TGCGTATCTTGTGTTATCTGCATTGTCGTTTCTTGCGTCCGTTTCCACACGCTTGGTGAGGAAGAAAACGGCTTTCAAGTGCAATCGGCATTCGCGTCCCGACGGTGGTTCTTGAATCATGCGGTCCGCTCCCATCTTCTCCCTCCCCCCCCCAAAAAACAAACCCCGTACCACCCGTGTCGCCAATCCCTCCTCGAGCGCATGCTCGCGCAAGCTTTCCAGCCGGCATGGTGACAGCCGCTGCGCGCCACATCGTAGCGAATGAGAGGGCGAGTATCGAAGTGGAGGATGACATGGACACCCATCGCCTCATGCTGAGCAAGTCGTTTCTGGTGAATGCCTTCGGAGGTAATCGCAGGACACGATGTAAACCATCAAGCTCGCTGAATTATAGTTTGAGGTGTATGGCGAAGCACTGCATGAGGTAGCTCAGCACGGGCAGCGCCGCAGAGTTGCAGTCGCGCACGATCACCTTGTTGGACGCCAGGCAGTCCCGGAGTACACAAGCGGAAGTGGTACTTGCCTGTCGCCTTCGCCAATTGCATTTCGTTCGTTGCGCCTGGACCGAACTTGACGCCCGAGTATTTCATGAATCTTGCGATGCTGAAGTCCTCCCAGCCCTCCATGAAAATGCCCAGCTCCACGCGGAAAGCGCAGCGTCTGTTTCTGACAGGATGCCCTAAAGTGGGACCAGGACGCACTTCGACGGCTGGAGCCAGAGGCCAGCCAGAATCGACATGGTCTCGAAATGCGGCTTCAAACGTGTAATGTGACGATTTCTTCCACGTGACCATCGGGAAGAGCTTGGAGAATTGGCTGGCTGAAGCTGGCGAGGCGGTGCCCGGCGACCTCCAGGACCGTTGGCATCGTTTCCGCTCCACCTTCGCTACCCTGAAGCCTGGGGTGTGCTGTGCAGTGGTGAAAACCTTGGCTGGGGCCAGGTCGACAAGCCACCGAATGCATGTGTTACACGAGCGCCTGATGTGCAGATTCGGTTGCCAGGCCGAGGACGAGATATGCCATCACCTCCGATGCCCGCGAGCTTGGCATTTAGTCATCCTCCTGCGATGGATCCCTTCAGCACGACTGATTGTTCGACGCGGCCTCGGGCTTCTGGATGAACAGGTCGAGGATGATGTGATTCAGCGAGCTGCCTTGCGCATAGTTAGCTTTATTGTGCCACCTGTGCAACATCATCCGTCACGAAATCGCAGACAACGCCTACGGTCACAACCTGCACACCAGTGCCCTGAGAGCTGTCCAGCAGCGCGTCTAGGCCTGGAGTTGTGTTCCTGGGCTTCGTGTCCTCCTCCTCCTCCTCCTCCAATTGCTCCTCCTCCTCCTCCTCGTCTTCCTTCTGCTCTTCCTCCTGCATTCTTCTATTCTCCGCGACTGCGCCCCAGCTGTCTCTGCAGCTTCTCGGCCCCAAGCTCCCCCTTCGAGAGCGAAGCCAGGGAGCCCCCCCGAACGCAGGGCGCCCCCGCCCTCCCCCTCCCCCCTTTCCAGAGCGAAGCTTAAGCGAGCACAAACCCACGCTCTTTGAAACTCACGCGCCTGGTCGGCGGATTTGTGAGCGCTTCCCACTGGACCGCTGGAGTACTTGTCACTCCATCGGCGTGGCCTGGCTGTTGAATTGGAATGCCGGATCCCAGGCTCTCGGGGTGGCATTCGGTGTGATATCAAATTCGCGATGCCATGCCATGACAGATGGGCTTTGGGCCCCAGAGTTTCGACTCATGGATACCATCAAAACTCAGTCAGGCATGCTCGCTCTTTGTCGCTCCATCGGCTCACTGGCTGCCTTTTTTCGTTCGGCTTCTGGCTCCTGGCTGGTGCCTTCCTCTCGCCCTCAAAACCTGCATGGGCCAGGCTTGGCCTAGCTGCATTGTGTTGTCACGCCATGCAGAATCTTTTGTCGTTTTTCGACCCTCGTGCCAGATGCGTTTCGTCGGCCAGCTGAGACATGGTGCCTATAGCCGTTGCAGGGGTCGTCGCCGCCGCCGCCGCCGCCGCCGCCGCCGCCGCCGCCGCCGCCGCCGTCGTCGTCGTCGTCGTCGTCGTCGTCGTCGTCGTCGTCGTCGTCGTCGTCGTCGTCGTCGTCGTCGTCGTCGTCGTCGTCGTCGTCGTCGTGCGCGAGGCGGGCTGCCCGACGGCGGGCGGTGCCGGCTCCGCGCCCGCCGTGGCCGGGCACGCCCTGGCGGCCGCTCGCGCTCCGCCAGGCGCGGGCGCGCGTTGGGGGCCCGCGCCGGGCTGCCGGCGCGGTGCGGGCAGCGGCGAGGCGCCGCTGCGCGGCGAGCTGTGGGCGGCGATGCGCGAGCAGCGGCGCGCCCTGCGCGGCGTGGCCGTGTGCCACGAGGCGATGCTGGAGAGGCTCGACAGGGAGCTGGCGGAGCTGGCGGAGCTGCCGCGCGAGGCGGCGCGGGGCGAGTCGGCAGAGCTGCCCAGCTGCCCGGGCGAGGCTGAGGTCGCACAGGCGATGCCGCCCCCGCCCCCTTCTCCTCCCTCCCTCCCTCCCTCCCCTCTTCTCCTCCCCTCTTCTCCCTCCCTCTTCTCCTCCCACTTCTCCCTCCCTCCCTCCCTCCCTCTTCTCCTCCCCCTCCTCCTCTCCTCCCTCCGCCCCCCCCCTTCTCTTCCAGGGGCCTTTCGTGGAGGAGGCTTCCAGGGACTTCCGGGGCTGAGGATCGAGGAGGAAAGGGCAGGATTTGTGGAAAGATTTGGGATGGATGACCTCTGGAGAAATAGATGGAGGGATGGAAGGATGACGGGAGGCCAATCGCCAGGCTGTCCGCCGCCGCCAGCCGCTCAGCGGCTCTGAGGCCAAAGCGGCGGAGAAGGCGCTGAGGGAGCAGCTCAGCAGGCTGGAGGACGAGAAGGCGGATCTTCAGCAGCTGGTCCGCGCCGCGGCCGAGCCCAACGCCGCGGGTCAGGCGCTGGCAGCGCAGAAGAGCAGGCTGGAGTCCGAGAAGTCGGAGCTGCAACAGAAGGCTGCCACATGCGCTGAGGCCCCGGCGGCAGAGCAGGCGCTGTGGGCTCAGTGGAGCAGGCTGTTAGGTGAGAAAACAGAGCTTCAGCATCAGGCCGACGCCGCGGCCGAGGCCAAGGCGACGGAGACAGCGCTGGCAGCGCAGGTGGTGGGCATACTGGAATCCCAGAAGGCGGAGCTGAAGCACAAGTCTGACGCATGCGGTGATGCCACGGCGGCGGAGGAGGCGGTGCGCGCTCAGATGAGCAGGCTGAAATCTGAAAATGCGGAGCTTCAGCGCCAGGCTGACGCTGCAGCCGGAGCCCAAGTCGCGGAGGAGGCACTGCGTGCGCAGGTCAGCAGGCTGGAGTCCGAGAGGGTTGAGCTGCAACATAAGGCCGACGCATACGGTGAGGCCACGGTGGTGGATGAGGTGCTGCGGTCGCAGCTCAGCAGGCTGGAAGGCGAGAAGGCGGAGCTTCAGCAGCAGGCTTACGCCGCGGCCGAGGTCGACGCCGCGAATGAGGTGCTGGCAGCGCAGGTGAACAGGATGAAGTTCGAGCAGGTGGAGCTGCAAAAGCAGGCTAACGCATGCGCTGAGGCCACGGCGGCAGAGGAGGCGTTGGCAGCGCAGGTGAGCAGATTGGAGTCCGAAAAGGCGGAGCTGCAACAGAAGGCCGACGCATGCGCTGAGGTCACGGCGGCGGAGGAGGCACTGAGGGCGCAGCTCGGCAGGGTCGTGGACGAGAAGACGGAGCTTCAGCAGCAGGCTGACGCCGCAGCCGAGGCCAAAGCCGCGGAGGAGGCGCTGGCAGCACAGGTGGTCAGCCAGCTGGAGTTCGAGAAGGCGGAGCTGCAGCAGAAAGGCGCCGCATGTGCTGAGGTTACGGCGGCAGAGGAGGCGCTGCGGGCGCAGTTGCAGGCTGATGCCGCGTCCGAGGCCAAAGCCGCCGCCGAGGCGCTGGCAGCGCAGGTGGTGAGCGCCAAGGCGGCAGTTGAGGCGCTGGCAGCGCAGGTCAGCCAGCTTGAGTCCGAGAAGGCGGAGCTTCAGCATCAGGCTGATGCCGTGGCCGACGCCAAAGCTGCGGACGAGGCGCTGGCAGCGCAGGAGGTGAGCAGGCTGGAGTCCGAGAAGGCAGAGCTGCAACGGCAGGCCGCCGCATACGCCGAGACCAAGGCGGCAGAGGAGGCGCTGGCAGCTCAGGTGAGCAGGCTGGAGTCCGAGAAGGCGGAGCTGAGGCAAAATGCCGACGCATGCATTGATGCCACGGCGGCGGAGGAGGTGCTACGGGCGCAGGTGAGCCGGCTGGAGTCCGAGGAGGTGGAGTTTCATCGGCAGGCGTACGCCGCGGCCGAGGCTCAAGCCAGGTTGGATGCACTGACAGCACAGGTCAGCCGGCTGGAGTTGGAGAAGGCGGATCTGCAACAGAAGGCCGACGCTGGCTCAGCTCGTCAGGTCGGAGCAGGCTGGATCAGCAGGCTGGAGTCCGAGAAGGTGGAGGAGGAGCTGCGGTTGCAGCTCCGCAGGCTGGAGGACGAGAAGGCGGAGCTTCAGCAGCAGTTCCGCGCCGCGGCCGAGGTCAAAGCCGCAGACGAGGCTCTGCGGGCGCAGCTCAGCAGGCTGGAGTGCGAGAATGCGGAGCTTCTGCAGCAGGCTGACGCCGCGGCCGAGGCCGAGGCGGCGGAGATGACACTGGCAGCGCAGGTGAGCAGGCTGGAGTCCGAGCTCCAACAGCAGGCCAACGAATGTGCTCAGGTCACGGCGGCAGAGTCGGCGCTTGCAGCGCAGTTAAGCAGACTGGAGTCCGAGAAGGCAGAGCTGGCGCAGAAGGCCGACGCATGCGCTGAGGCCACGGCGGCAGAGGAGGCGGTGCGGGCGCAGTTGAGCAGGCTGGTGGACGAGAACGTGGAGCTCCAGCGGCAGGCCAACGCGGCTGTCAAAGCCAACGACGCGGAGGAAGCACTTGCAGGATATGTCGGCCAGCTGGAGTCCGAAAAGGTGCAGCTGCAACAGAAGGCCGACGCATGTGCTAAGGCCATGGCGGCGATGGAGGCAGTGCGGGCGCAGCTTGGGAGGCTGGAGGACGAGACGGCGGAGCTTCAGCGGCAGGCTGACACTGCGGCCGAGGCCAAAGCCGCGGACGAGGCGCTGGCAGCGCAGGTGGTCAGCAGGCTGGAGTCCGAGAAGGCGGAGCTGCAGCAAAAGGCTAACGCATGGGCTGATGCCAAGGCTGCAGAGTCGGCGCTGGCAGCGCAGGTCAGCCGGCTGGAGACCGAGAAGGCGGATCTGCAACAGCTGGTTGACGCATGCGCCGAGGCCACGGCGGCGGAGGAAGCAGTGCATGTGCAGATGGGCAAGCTGGAGTCCGAGAAGGCAGAGCTGCAACAGAAGGCCGACGCATGTGCTGAGGCCATGGCGGCGGAGGCTGCGCTGCGGGCTCAGGTGAGCAGGCTGGATGATGAGACGGCGGAGCTTCAGCGACATGCCAACGCGGCCGCCGAGACCAGGGTGGCAGAGGAGGCGCTGGCAGCACAGGTGAGCAGACTGGAGTCCGAGAAGGCGGAGCTGCAGCAGAAGGCCGACGCATGCGGTGAGGCCACGGCAGCGGAGGCGATGATGCGGTTGCAGCTTGGGAGGCTGGAGGACGAGACGGCGGAGCTTCAGCGGCAGGCTGACGCTGCGGCCGAGGCCAAAGCCGCGGACGAGGCGCTGGCAGCGCAGGTGGTCAGCAGGCTGGAGTCCGAGAAGGCGGAGCTGCAGCGGCAGGCCACCGCCGCGGAGGAGGCGTTGCGGGCGCAGGTGAGCAGGCTGGAATCCGAGAAGGCTGAGCTTCAGCGGCAGGCCAGCGCCGCGGCCGAGGCCAAAGCTGCGGTGGAGACACTGACAGCGCAGCTCGACAGACCAGAGTCCAAGCAGGCGGAGCTGCCGCGTCATCCCGACACGTGCGCTGAGGCCACGGCCGCGAAGGAGGTGCTGGCGGAGCTGGGCGAGCCACCACCGAGAAGGAAACCGCCGCCGAGGAGGGTCTCATCGATGCCGTCGTCATGGCCAGCGCCCGCCCGCCCGGCCTGCCAGGCTGGCTGCTCCGTTTCCTCCCTAATCTCGCTTGCTGCTCCTCCTGCTTCTGGTCCTCTGCTCACCATTCTCCTCCTGCTCCTCCCTCCCTCAGCAGCAGCAGGCTGGTGCCGCGGCCAGGGTCGAAACCGCGGGCGAGGCGCTGGCAGCGCATGTGGTCAGCAGGCGGGAGTCCGAGAAGGCGGAGCTGCATCAGAAGGCTGATGCATCATGCGCCGAGGCCAAGGTGGCAGAGGAGGCGCTGGCAGCGCAGGTGGACAGCAGACCGGAGTCCGGGCAGGCGGAGCTGCAGCAGGAGGCCGCCGCAGGCGACGAGGCCGCGGCGGCAGAGGCGGCACCACGGGCGCAGCTCGGCAGGCTCGGAGAGGCCCGGCAGGCCAGACAGGCTCGGAGACAGGCCAGCGACGGGGCCGAGGGCAGGGCCGCGGAGGAGGCGCTGGCGGCGCAGGTCGGCAGGCTGGAGTCCGAGCGGGCGGAGCTGCAGCGGCAGGCCAGTGCGCGCGCCGAGGCCAAGGTCATGGCGGCACAGGTCGTCAGGCCGGAGGACGAGCGGTCGGAGCTGCAGCAGCAGGCCAGCGTGCGCACTGGGGGCAGGGCCGTGTCGATGATCCTTAGGACGTGTGTTGGCCCAGTGTGTGTGTGTGTGTGTGTGTGCGTGTGTGCGTGTGTGTTTACCCTGGTCATTGCGTCACTCGGACGCGCGTGCGGATTGCCTCTGCCGCGCTGCGACGTAAAAGTGTTTATCCTCGTCAGCTCCACCGACAGCGCGCAGCATGTTCTGGCTCTAGTCATGTTGCCTGCATGCTTGTGGCGAGGTCGTCATTTTAGAGATCGGGGGAGGTAAAGGGCTCTTGCCTAGCTTGCCGCGCTCCCGAATCTCCAACTGCCAGGGACGCTCGTTCCGCTCGCCGCACTCGAGGGTGTGGGTGCATGCTTCGATACATGCGCCACCAGATGCAGCAAGCTGCGCTCACGGCTTTGGCTGCCCGAAGAGCAGACTTGTCCGTGCCGCTGGGGCTCGTGCTCGGCCTGGGCACCCTTCTGCCTCCTCCCTCCCTTCTCCCTCCTCCCTCCTCCCTCCTCCCTCCCTCCTCCCTCCTCCCTCCTCCTCCCTCCTCCTCCCTCCTCCTGCTCCCTCCTCCCTCCTCCCTCCCTCCTCCTCCTGGACGGAGCCCCCATGCTTGTGGGCCCGCGGTCGCGCCAGACGTGCGGCCCCCCCCCCCCCCTTGGACTCGCAGCGCTGTGCGGCCAGGAGGCGGCCAGCCTAGCGGGCAGCGCGACGCTCGTGGGTGCCATGCGGCGAGTGTCTTTGGAGGGGTGTGGGCGGCGTTGCGCTGGGCGGGGCTTGGTGTGCAGCGTGTCGGCGAGGGACCTCGAGGTACCTTTGCCCACGGTGTGAGGTGCGGTGCGGTTCGACGTGCGCTTTCCCGCCGAGCGGATCACCCAGCGGATCAGCCTACTCACCCATCCTGGATAGGCTGTGTGCAGCAGCCACTCGCAGCTCGTCTCGGACGAGGGATCGGGCACATGCGCGGAGAAACGCGAACGAGTAGAGCGCGTTTGGCAACATCGTGGTTGCAAGCGCCAGCATCACTCGCTAACCTACATGTGCCGACGCTTCTTTCCACGTTTTAATCATGTATTTTCTGAACCTTCCGTGCTTGCCTTTTTTGGCCCTCTGTTCTATGCGGTGCGCAAGAGCATCCAGTCCAGATATCGGTTCGGTGGCCATACCTTCGGCTTCCATGGTTTTGACCACCCCTCCCTTCCCCCCCGTCCCCTCCCCCTGTCCCCCCCCGTCCCTGCCCCATGCCTGGTCGTTTTCCCCTCCTGTCACTTCCCTCGGCTCCTCGCTCTCCCTCTGCCACTCTTCCGTCGAACCACTTCTCCATCCCTCCCTCCGCACACACCCTTGCTCTCCCGCCGCTCCAGCACCCCGGTCAGCCCCCACCGCCTCACTGCTCCCTTCAGTCCACACGCCCCCATGCCGCGACGCCGATGCATCCCTCCGGGCTCCTCGCGCTTGCTGCCGTGCGCCCCCTCGCGGTCACCCATGGACGGCCTGCGATGGTCCCCAGGGCCTCGCCTCCGAACCTGGAAGCTCGACTTCTCGGACGGGTGGCGGACGGCCAGGGTGGAGAAACAGCGCAGGAGGCTCCGCTGGCGTAGGCTGGCGGAGGGCCGGCAGAAGCCAGCGGACGTCGAAGGTGCGTCCCAGAGAGATGTCACCTCCACCCTCCACATCATCATTATCCTCCTCCTCCTCTTCCTCCTCCTCCTCCTCCCTCATCCGCCTCCACCGCCCTCATCATCATGATCCTCCTCCTCCTCCTCAGCATTCCTGGGTTGGGGGGCTTCCAGAGCGGGCCATTGGGAGTCGGGGGTGCGGCCAGCGCTGCGGCGAGTGTCTTTCCGAGCGCAGACCAGCACTGGAGAGGGAGAGTATACCACTCCCAACCAGAAGTGTGGCAGGTGGCGTGAGCACAGACCCCACTGCTTCACGGCCGCAGCTCGGCAGAGTGACGACGGCCGCAGTGACCCCCCTCCAAGTGGGCCCCTGAGCGGGTCTCCTCGGCGCCTACTCGCTCCCCCCCCTCGGAGGGCATCAACTATACACCTACATCGATCCTGGCCTGGCCAGGATCGGTGTATGTGTATAGTTGACGCCTTCCGCCCTCCCCCCTTCCCGCGCCGCCACGGGCCGCCCCAGCCCCTTCAGGTCCAGCCCGGCGCCGGCGCGTCCGAGAAGGACTGCCTGGGCAGAGGCCGGCCTCCCACAGGGGCTGGGGCCACGTCGGAGATAGGCAAGGGTGATTGTGGCGCAAGGCCGACGAAGGACAACTGCATACACATAAACTTTCGGAGCTCCGCGCGGCTGTATGGCACTGGCGCTGGACTCCTCCGCGCGCCAGGGAGGGGGGGGTCCAGCGTCGCCCCAAGACCTCCGCGCGGACCTCCGCAAGTTTATGCTCATGAAATTCAACCTGTGTTTCTCGAGCCCCAGCAGTGTCTGGGCTCGCACAGGGCGCGGAGCCGCCAGAGACAGGCGAGGGTGATTATGGCCAACGGTTTACCTGGCTTTTCGCGCCCCCCTCTGAGCCCCGCGGGGGCCCTCTGGGCCCTCGCGAGTGCTGGTGCCGCATCTGGTTACGCTTAAGTCGGGCGTGTCCCCCTACAGGGATTTTCGACGAAAAATAAAACATACCCCCCAAATACCCCAAAAATGTCAAAACATGCTCAAACAAGAGTCCCCAGACTATTTTTGGGTTATTTTTTGATTACTTTTTGGGTATTCTTTATTTTTCGTCGAAAATCCCCCTGTAGGGGGACACGCTCGACTTAAGGTCATGCCCTGGCTTGGAGCCGCAGGGGCCTGCAGCGGCCCACGGCGGGGGGAGGCCCCGAGTGGCCTGCACACTCTCCTCCATGACCCGACGGGGTGCGTCCCCACCCTCGGGGAAGCGCGGTTCCGTCTGCCAGGGGACCCGGCGATCGCCGCCCTTGCCCTGCCTCGGAGGGGAAGGAGGCACCGGCACGGCCTCCCGTGCATCGCTTTCGCCCTATTTGGGGGCTTCCTGGGGTCCCTTTATCGCCACGGCTGGAGCCGCCGCAGGCTCCCGGTGGGAGCGCGCCCAGGGAGAGGTCCAGGGAGCAGCGGAGTCGGGATCTTTTTCATTTCCCAGTCGATGGAAGCTGGAAGCGAGATGTTGGTCGGGACAGTTGTGGGCTGGGCAGGGTAGCCATCGTGACGGCTGCGGCAGTCGTGTGCGGCCGAAGCCGTCTGTACATTCGCGGGCGCCAGCTGGGCCTGGGAGAGGAGAGCAGGGGGAGCGCTGTGGGGGAGCGCGTGAGGCTGGAGAAACAGAGAGGTGGGCGGGCGAGGAACCGGGGGGAACGAGAGGAAGGGCGAGGGACGAGGACGGGGGAGCGAGGAGAACGCCTGGGCAAGTCCCTCACCCCGTCCTTGCTGATGCTGCTGCTCCTGGCTCTGCGCTCCGCAGCGCAGAGCTGGGAGGCCCGGAGCCCAGGTCCAAGGTCCAGCACTCCTCGGCAGAATCGGGCCTGCCCGTCTCCACTTTGGCGGGCGAGCGGTATCTACCATCAGCTTCTCCGCGATCGGGGGCGCCTGTCCCCGGACGGCTGGAAAGCTTATACCCCCACCTGCCACCGCCCTGGGACAGGCGCCCCCGATGACGGACAAGTTCTTTTGTTCTATTCAGTCTTGCGCCCACTGAGTCCTGCCTCCTCTTCTCCTGCCCTCTTCCCCCTCTCGGCGCCTCCTCTCGTCGGCCTTGTCCCTCGGGGGCGCCACTGGCCGTGCTCAGGACCTCGCAGAGCAGGGCGGCGATACCTCGCCAGGGCGGCAGCGCATCGAGGATGACGATGACGAGGACGGTACCTCGCAGGAGTGGTTCTAGCGGCTGTCTGGTGTTCGGTAGCGGGGGGGGGGAACAGTCAACGGAGAGGATCGAGGATTGCAGGGGAGTGGCCCCAACTGATACCCTGGACGGCCCCCAAACTGCAACCGCGGGCCCAGAAGGTGCAGGGAAGATGCAAGTTCCGTCACCCCAGGCTTATCTTCCCCCCCCCTTGACGTACGCCCGAGGCTGCTACACCCGACCCTGCCGATGGAGGCGTGCCTGGAGGACCTGGGATGCATCTGCGACCACCTCGACGTGCCGCCCCCCTCGAGGCAGGCGCTGCTCCCACGCGGACCTCGTGCGTGCCTCGCGAAGGCTTCGCCTCGCGAAGGCTCGCCCTTCGCGGCGGTGCCCGTGAGCTTGGCCCCAGCGACCTCTCGTGGCCGCAGGACGAGGTGGTGAAGGCCGAGCCCCCTGACGCAGCTCGGCGCTGGCGCGGACGGGCTCCAGGTGGATGGCGTCCCTGCCGGCCGCCGCCGCGGCCGGCGTCGGTGCCCCGCTCAGCGCCTCGGAGAGGTCTGGCGCGCCGCCGTGGCAACGGATGAGGGCGAGGGCGAGTGCGGCAGGCCGAGGCCCGACGCGCCCGTACCCGGAGGCTCGCCTCGGGGAACTCGGGGCCAAGTTCGGGCCCAGGGAGGCCAGCGTGCTGAATCACTCCAGGCTCAAGCCCCTTTTGGCTCTGAGCTCCCTGCGTCTCCCGCCACGGCAGGTAACGTTGAGACATGTGGTAGATGTGTGGGAGCACGTCGTGGAACACTGTCCTGTCTTTTGGGCATTTGCAGTTTTGTTTTTTGGGCAAATTCCTCAGCGAATGGTATATAACTCTGTATTACACCAAGCAGCAGCCAGCGATGTGCATGGTTGCCGGCTTCGATGACAACATCAGAATCATTGATTTTGCATTGGATCATCTTGTTTTAGATCTTGTGGCGGAGAGTGGAGGAAAGTATAACCTGCCAGCAGTATCGCTTCATTGTTTTACCCCCGTCGTTGTGTACCGATGCAATGATGAAGGCAGCTATCCCGAAGAGTGGGTTTGGGAGGGACCGGCAGACGGCACCGCTTCTGATTGAGTCAATTAAGCCACTTACGGAATTTTTGCCATGCAGGAGCGTCAAACAAGTGCTTGACTGCGAACCAAATTGGGACGACGAGTGCACAGATGCTCGGCTCCGAGAGGCATCAAGTATGTGCGAAGAGTAGGTCGCGCACACCGAACACGTGTGTTTCGCGGATGGAGAGTGCACAGAAGTGCGTTTGCAGGCCACTGGCTTTCCACAGGTCCTGCTTGGGGCGGCTCTCGCTTGCTCTATGCTTCTAACAATCCTGTGCTGCACATGCTGCTGGTGCTTGAGTAGTGGTGCCCCTCCGTGTCGTTGATGCTTATGTTTATCGGCGCCCTGAGTTTAGTGATGATCCTGGGCGTAATGGTGTTGGCTGCGAATGCATCTGGTGAGGACGACATGCGCAAGGGATTTGTTAATTATCTGGGCCAGAAGTGCTCCGTCCACCACAGCTGCGGCAACGACAACAACGACGAGCACTAGCGAGCTTGTTTGAAGCGTTAGGGCCATGCACTTTGAGGATGCATCTGGGCATCTGGCGAGAGCCACACGTGCTTTCATCCAGTCTTGCCGCTGGACGTCCCAAGCTTCAGGAACTTTACATTGAAATTTCAGGCGAGAGTCAGCTTGAAACGACCATGCTTTCGTCCGTGTCAGCTATTGGCAAACTCGGGCTTCATACTCATCGCGCATGAGGTCGTCTCAAGGAGCATCCCTGACATATCCTACCGATGCCTGGTGCGACGAGTGTGGGTCGGCCATGTCCATGGAAGAGGGACGGAGAGAGGAGTAGGATGATGATGATGATGATGATGATGATGATGATGATGATGATGATGGCGATGATGATGATGATGATGATGATGATGATGATGATGATGATGATGATGATGATGATGATGATGATGATAATGCTGATGAGGATGAGGATGTTGATGATGATGAGGAATCTGAGGGAGCAGCGAGAAGGAGGATGAGGAAAAGGATGAAGCAGGGGGAAGGAGGAGGCATAATGAGGCAGGAGGAGAAGGAGGCAAGTAAGACGAAGAGGAGGAGGGGGACGAGGAAGAGGAGGAGGACGAGGAGGAGGATCATAATGATGATGCCGATGATGATGCTGATGATGATGATGATGATGATGATGGTGATGATGAAGATGCTGATGATGATGACGATGCTGATGATGATGATGATGATGATGATGATGATGATGATGATGATGATGGTGATGTTGGTGATGATGTTGATGATGATGGTGATGATGATGCTGAGGCTGATGCTGATGATGATAATGAGTAAAGAGGAGGAGGATACGGAGCATTCGGGGGAGTAGGCACAGAGCATCAGGAGTGGGAGGAGATGGAGAAGGATGAGGACGATGACATATTACGGCAAAGGCCTTACGGGCTGTTCTGCTGACCCTGAAAAATGAGCAGCTTGGCCGCAAGAGGTAAAAGGGGGGGAGGGTGCGGGACGGGGCAAGGGGCAGTGAGGGTATCATTGTGAGGGCGAAGATGACCGAAAGCGCGCTTCGCGTGCGATTTGTTAGTCGGAAGCAATGAGGATGGCAGCTGTAGTCTCAGATCTAATGGCATCTTGGGCGATCTTGGGGCAATATCTGGGGCCTCTTGGGCCGTCTTGGGCTGTCGGAGTTCCGTTTTGAAGCGAATGTCTAAATCTTTCAAACACCGAGGGCAACTTAGTGAGGTTGGCCTCTTCGGGCCTTTCTGGGGGACCTCTTGGAGGCCTCCCAGGCCGTCTTAGGGGCCTCCAAGAGGTCTTCCAGGAATGCCCGACGAGGACAACATCATAGATTTTCATTTTCTTTCAAAGGTTTTTGAATTTTGGGGGCCTCTTGGGCCGTCTTGGGCTGCCGGAAGGCCGTCTTGAAGCAAATGCCAACATCCTTCACCCATCAAAGGAAATTCAACGATTTTGGCCGCGTCGGGCCTTCATGGAGATGCTCTTGGAGGCCTCTTGGGCCGTCTTCGTGGCCTCTTGGGCGCTTCTTGGGCCGTCTTGGGCTCTCTTTGACCATCTTGGCGGCGGTCGTGGGGACATCTTGGGACCGTCTTGGAGGCCATCGCGGGGCTATCTTGGGGCTGTCTTGGCCGTCTTGGAGGCCATCCTGTGGCTATTTTGGGCTCTCTTGGGGCCATCTTGGGCATCTTGGAGGCATCTTGGAGGCCATCTTGGGCCATCTTGGCCGTCTTGGAGACCATCCAGGCCGTCTTGGAGACATTTTGCAGGAGTCAACGAGCCCTTCGGTCGGCCGACAGGTTGGGCCGAGACCCCGTTGAGAGTTCTTGGAAAAAAGAGCCAACAACCTGCCAGACTTTCGGCACGCCGTGCACCCCTGTGATGAACCTGCTCCTCCTTCTCATCGCTCCTCCTCGCTCCTCGCTCCTCCTCCCTCTTCCCTCCTCTGCCGGCCCAGGCTCAGGCGGGCCTTGCTGTCTCGAAGTTTGGGACGGCATTCTGAGGCAGCGGGCCAATTTGGCTCCTCTCTCGCACCCCCAGTCACGTTTCCCCCCCCCCGCAGTCTGAAGACATGGGTGGAGGAGGGCGCTGGGGCCGCGGCAGCGGCAAGGGCCACCCAGGCGCGCGCCAGCCCGACGGCAAGGGCAACAGTGCAGCGGCTTGGAGCTCCAAGGGCAAGGGCGAATGGCTGGACCAGCCTTCAGCGCCGCCGCCCTGGAGCACAGCTCGCCCTCCTTTGCGGAAGTCGGCACAGCCAAGGAGATGGTGCTGTGCGAGGTACGGGTGCAAAAAGAACATGGACGCCTTTAATGCCTGCAAGCATCGTGGTGAATGGGACACGAATGCTCCGTCCCCAGATGCTGATTCGGTGCTTGCTGGCAGTACCCGTCGTCGCTCTCGTCCTCCTGCTCCTCGTGGCGCTGCTGGCTCTTCAGACGACAGCAACGGCATGCACGGGGAGGCGGGTGGTGAACATGACAAGGATCTCAGTGAGGATGGGTTGGGGAACTTAGTCACGCTCGCAGAGAGGGCTGGAAACCCGACTGTTGCCACTCGGTGAAGGAAGAAGTTCGAAGCAGTGCGGAACACCAGTGAGCCCAGCCTGCAAGTCAAGGTCAACGCTCAAGGCGCGAGGGCTACTGACCTGGAGTCAGCCTTGCAGGTCGAGCTGGATAAGTTGGATCTATAACCCACATAGTTTACGCAACGATTTAAGGTCGTGCAGGAGCTCTACGAACGCCTCGCCGCGACCGGCAAGAAGTACCAAAATTTGGCCACTCAACTCGTTGGCAAGCCCAGGGATACTTCAGACGGCGCCTCTCTTCGGTTTTGCATCAAAGACTTGGTCGAGTGCAAGAGTGGCCTCATGTCTCTCATTTTGTGGATACTTTTCAATGTTGATGACTACGAACTGTCGCCAGAAGACAAGGAGACGATCCAGGTCATAAAGGCTGGGCTGTGCACCCAGCTGCAGGAGTTGACCAAGGGCCTCTTCAGCGGTTCGGTAGGCAAGTTTTAGGAGCTGAAGAAGGAGCAGCTAGAGCATATTCAGGAGAATAAGCCTAATCTTGACCCTCAACAGAAGTCTGCCCGCTCATCCATTGTTGCCCGAGGCGCAGGATCGGACTCGTCAGCCCCCAAGGTCTGTTTCGCAACTCCGGCGACTCCTACCAGGGTATCTTCGGCTCCTGCTGGAGGTGGTGAGGTGGTGCTGTTGTGGCTGGCGTTCGAGAACGGGCTCGCGTATGCGCGAAAGGATGGCCACCAAGTGAAGGTTCATGTCAGCACCCCCTCGCTGTCGCCTCGAGGCGCGGACTTGAGAGCAGGCGGCGGGGGGGAAGGCTCTATGTACCTTCTAGCCATGCCTTGCGGCAGTCTCCGTCACCCAGGAAGCCGCTGGCAGGTTGGATTTGCCCTTGTTGTTCGCCTGGGTCCTGGGGCTTCCTCCTGGACGCAGGCATATGGGCAGAAAGCCCTACTCGCTCCCGCCGCTCCCGCCGCTTCTGGAGGCACCTCTGGAGGCGTGGGCACCTTGGCTAGGAACTCTTTAGGTTTACGGGCGCCCCAGGGAGGCCGCATTATTGTCCATTCTCGTGCCGCAGGTGCTATAGTTCACATTCCAGGACATGAGGGCCTTTTTTTTGCGGTCGGTCTATCTGCGCCACTCGCAGGGGCCCGCCGACCCTAACCTTGAGCTGCCCTCTCATGCTGCTTCCGCCATAGATGCATGGGCTGGCCCGTGCATCCCAGGCGGCGATTTCAACTTTATCCCGCAGCTCCTGGCATATACCACTTTTGGCGAGAACACTCGAGGCACCGTTGTTCATGTCAAGCATGCGGCGGGCGCGTGCTCGACCACAGGAGGGATCAAGATCTTTGATTATTTCGTTATCTCGCACGGTCTTGCCCAGGGTATTAAAGATGTGAGTGTTGTCCAAGATTCTTGTACTACCCCTCGCTCCCCTGTCATATGGACCTTCCACCCCAGGCATGCGCGCGTCTACGGGTTGAAGTTCCACCGACCCCCCCCCATGGCTCGCGAGCCCGTCGCGGGTCCTTGTCAGAGGCCCCCTGATTGGACTGGGGTCTTAGGGATGCGTGATTGTCTAGGCGAGCTCACTCAGGCCAGGGGCGCCCCGCGTGTCCGACAGAAAATCAAGGATGTCTGCAGGGTGTGGGCCAAGTTGGTCGAACGTGAAGTCCAAGCTGCCGCTGCTTCCCACCTTCCTTGCGTGGGCTCTAGAGGCGAGGCCCCGAATATGCACTGGGTTCAAATTTTAGCTCAAGATCGTCGGCCGCCTGCCAGGCGCCCTGCATGTCATGCTTTAAAGTGGGCGGTGCTGAGATTCAGGCAGTTTTGACGTGCAGCGATCGTGCTGATCAGGCTGGAGCTGAAGTCAGCCGACAGGATTTGCTTGCTCCTCCCAAGTTTCTTGCCGAAGCTCTTGTCCTGCACGAGCGTTTGCACTCTCCTGTGGCTGCTGCTTTAGGTTTCCCGCGCCGGCCTGACCGGCGCGCGGGCCCGCGCGCCGACCTCAGCGTCGCTTTGGCCGCTGCGGAAAGGCAAGCACATCGGCAGGGCATGCGTGGTTGGAAATCCCGGCTCCTGCGTCGGGTGGGGGAAGAGGCCAATCAGGCCCATGAAGCCATTCGTGGCTGTGCCCCCTGAGCCCCCACCTCGACCCTCAATGATGCGGGGGAGATCGTTGTGGGCCCTCTTGCTTTGTTTAAGCCCGATCATATCCGATTCAACGCTGTGGCGCGCCAGCTTCGCCCCCGAAGCCACCCGTTGCGTTCGCCACCCAGCCCGCCTGTGCCCCCCATGTCCCCCGAGGACATTGGGATCATCGGCGGAAAGTTCCCCGGGCGCGCGGCCACCTCACTGGTAGGTTTCGCATGGGGCATTGCGCTCTCACGTCTGATGGCGCTCTCACGGCGCCGTCCTCGCCGTGCGCTGCCATGGAGATGGGCAGTTTGGCACCCGCGCAGGCCGGCCTCGCGCTCCTCTCGCTCCTGGCCAAAGCCTCATGAGGCCGTCGGCCCCTTGGGCTCTTTTGTTCTACGTGCAGATTATGGGGGAAAGCGAAGGGGGGATGCGATCCAGTGGGGGGAGGAGCATGCTCGACCTTACTTTGCTGCCGCCAAGTTCTCGTCTAGCACTGGCGTGCTTTGGTCGAGCAGTGCGCGCTGAGAATGATGTTGCCAGGGGCCGAGTTGCTGCTAGTCTGCCCTGGGATCCCTATAAGTGTTTTAAATCGGTCAGCCCATCCAGGCTCTTGGAACGTTGTCATACCTATCGTTTTCATTCTGCTATCTCGGCCCTCATGGTTGCTATGTATCGATCCGCCAGATTTGTCGTTCTCGGAGGCCTCGTCGCTGGGCCTGCGTTTGCGGAATTTGGCATTGCTGCAGGATGTACCCCACTCAGTCACGCTCGACGTCTACATCGACGATTACGAAGGCTGCGCATCAGGCTCCGAGCCACAAGTGTACTGCGATCTCACCGAGGGCGCTCGAATGCTGAGGGCTGCAGTTGTACATGACCTCGGAGCTAACATCTACCAGGATAAAGCTTGTTTGGTAGCATCCTCCAGGAGTGTGGCCACCAAGCTGATGAAGTCTACTGGCTCGTTGGCCGGGCGCCAACTCGCCGCTTCTGCAGCTGACCTCGGTGTCGCTGCTGGGCGGCCTAGGAGGGCCGAGCAGCGTTCTCTGGTCTTTAAGGTTCGCGTTCGTCACCTTCAGTATCCGGAGGCTGCGTAAGTTGCGACGCGTTCTAGGCGAGCATTGCAGGGCGTTATGTGTGTCTGGGCCTCTTCCAGGTTACTACTACGGAGCGGAGGTCCACGGGGTTTCAGATCATGAATGGGGCTTGGCTTGTCGAGTTTTCGGGAGGTGCCTTCGCCCCAAGTCTGGGTCTCGCTCTCGCACCTCAGCCTTCGTTCTGGAAAGGGGCCCCACTTCCTGTGGTCCCGCGTCTCCCATTTTACGCTGCGGGAAGGAACTGTGGGCCTTTCGACTCAGGAGTTGCCCTTTCGCCCTCTCCTGGGACGAAATGCGTGAGTCTTGGGCTTCTGTTTTCGTGATCTCGGGGTCTGGTTCTTGGGGCAAATAGCAGGGCCTACTTTGGCCATGAAGCTGAGTTCGACAGGGTTAGGTTGGAGCATGCCCTCGTTTGGCCTGGCCGTGGACCAGCGCAGGAACGAGCTGCCGCTCACGTTGATCTCGCCTGCGCTGCTGACGCGGCGCCTGAGGCTTGCCATTCAGTGTGTCCATGGGTGCCGATCGGCGGTGCGGCTTCTACCGCACCTTGCGCAACCTGCTCGTGCATGCCATGATCAAGTAAGGGTTATGTTTCATAAGAAGAAGTACACGCCGCACATGGAAGGGGTGTATGCGCGCTGTATGTCGTAATGCCATTTGGGCGCGGCAGCGAGAAAAGCAAGCGGGATGCGACTTGCCCGATGTAATTTGGCTTTTCTGCCAGGGCGCCGACGGCGCCGTGCTACGTCGCCTGTGGTTTTGCCTGGCAGTCGAGGCTGCGCGCGTGGGAGCTCGTGGTAAGCATTCGAAGATGCGACCGCCGTCCGACCCCGCGCCTACTTCGGTCCCGTCTGAGTTCTCGTGGTTTCCAGGAGGTCTGTGCGAGCGCCCTGCGGATTGCCGCCCGAGGCCTGCTACTGCTGCCAATGTCTTTCCCGGTGGGTTGCATATGATTTAGGCCCAGGACCCCTATCCAGGATATACCTTGGGTGGGCGCATCTTCGTGGGCGGTTCGGGTGCCGGGGAGGTTTCCTAAGGGCTCTCCAGGGCAGGTTGGGCTGTTATTCTCGTGGGCCCCTCTGGCAGCAGGGTGCGTCGCCGACGCGGGGCTCGATTGCAGTGGCGGCTGAGTTTGTAGACTGCGCGATTGCGGCCCAGTGTAGAGACTCGGGTTCCCCGATTTATTCTGATTGTTTAAACGTGGTGCGCCAAGCGTTGGGGCCCTTGTCTTCCAGGGCCTCCTATCGTCGCCCGTGTGCTCCAGACTCTGGGTCAGGATCCGGGGGATGCGTTTACGTGTATAGGGCACCAGAAAGACCGACCTGATCTCGCTGATAAAGAGATCTTTTTGAAGTGGTGATGGCCCAGCAGAATTGTCAGCCCGTCAGGCAGCTTCCCGTCGCCCCCAACCTTCCATTTGCGAGGTGGAGCGGAGGCTGCGGGCAGAACTCATCCCGCGGCTAGTGTGCGAACTTTCTGCGTATGCCATGGTGTTTTTCCCAACCATCCTGTGGTGTTGGGTCCTCGTTTTGAAGAGACAGCGCCCCGCGTTCTCCGCCTCCTCTCTTCTCCTCCTCCCCCTCCCTCCTCCGATTCCTGTTTGTGCCCTCCAACCAGTCAACCATTTTGGCACACCCCTCACACGTTTCGTGGCTGCATAGGGAACCCCACCGAAAACCCAAATGCCAGCGTTCGCATGCGGCCACCGCGCCCATTCTGGCACACCCCTCCCACGTTTCCTGGCTTCATAAGGGAACCCCACCGGAGGCTCAAATGCCAGCGTTCGCATGCGGTCACCGCACCCAGTTTGGCACACCCCTCACACGTTTCGTGGTTCCATAGGGAGCCCCACCGAAGGCCCAAATGCCAGCGTTCGCATGCGGCCACCGCACCCAGTTTGGCACACCCCTCACACGTTTCGTGGCTCCATAAGGGAACCCCACCGAAGGCGCAAATGCCAGCGTTCGCATGCGGCCACCGCGCCCAGTTTGGCACACCCCTCACAAGTTTCGTGGCTCCATAGGGAACCCCACCGAAGGCCCAAATGCCAGCCTTCGCATGCGGCCACCGCACCCAGTTTGGCACACCCCTCACAAGTTTCGTGGTTCCATAGGAATCCCCACCGAAGGGCCAAATGCCAGCGTTCGCATGCGGTCACCGCACCCAGTTTGGCACACCCCTCACACGTTTCGTGGTTCCATAGGGAGCCCCACCGAAGGCTCAAATACCATCGCGCGCATGCGCCCACCGCACCCATTTTGGCACACCCCTCACACGTTTGGTAGCCCCAATGGGAGCTCCACCGAATGCGGTGCACACAACGAAGGTATTTGTCACAACTGCATATGGTTGGGCCCTTCGCCTGGCTAGTCTTTTCCGCGGCTGGATGTGTCAGAGAATCACCGAATTGTTACCACTCCGCACCCCGAGCCTACCTCTGGGCCTGATCACGATCGGCACTGGGAAGGGATATCTTTGTTGTGTGCTTCCTGTTGGCGGTCCTCTCTTTCCGTTGCTAGGCCTGGTAAGAGTGTGTCTAAAGGGGCCTCTGATCTCAAAGGGCTCGCGGGGGCTTCTCTTCAGGCCAACGTGCCAAAAGCCCTTTGTGCTAGACTATTGTGATGGGGGCGGCGTTCCCTTATTTTTTCTCTTGTAAGTGTTATACTAGTGGTAGCCAGGTTTGCGGCTTGGCTCGAAGGTGCGTTGGCCCACTAAGGCCAAGAGGGGCCACGGCCGCCATCGCACGTTGAGGCAGATTTCTTTGGGTCGCCACCCCAAGGCTGGCGCAGTGCTGGTGGAGGGTGCCCGACTCGATGAGGACCTTGGGGGCAACGATGGCCTTGAGAGCCGACCACAGGCCGCCGAGGTCGGCTCGAGAGTCGCTTCCCCGCTCGCTTTGCAGGCGGAGGAGGTTGCAGCAAGGCCTCACGCCTCCTCCAGCTCATTCGGGCCAGGGTATGAACGCGTCCCAGCGGGCCAGCCAGCCACTCGAGCTGAAGTTGGCCCGAGAGACGCTTTCCCCAGCGTGCAGGGCAAGGAGGCAGCAGCAAGGCCTCGCGCCTCCCCTAGTCCTGCTGGCTATGCAGCGCCAATGCGCGACGCGGTGGCTTTCTGGCATGGGTCGGACGCCCAGTCTTCACATTCCTTGTCGTCGGATCTCTCCGATGATTCTGACTGATCGCCCTGCCCTCTTTGCTTTGGCCGCCCCCAGGTCCTGCTGCTCGCCTGTCCGTCTCGGCGGGAACGGCCTGTCGACCCCCACCGGTGGATTGACGTGTCTGCGGCACGTCTGGGGGGGCATCGGCCCGAGGAGTGTGTTTCTCGCCCGCCCAGCTGCTGCTGCTGGGACAGGGCCTCAGGCGTGTGTGTGTGTGTGTGTTGTGTGTGTGTTGTGTGTGTTGTGTGTGTTGTGTGTGTTGTGTGTGTGTGTGTGTGTGTGTGTGTGTGTGTGTGTGTGTGTGTTGGCGTGGGCCCTCTTACCTCCTCCTCCTCCTGCTCCTCCTCCTCCTCCTCGCTCCTCCATTCCTTTTCCTTGTACGACTTCTCCCTGTCGCACCCCGAGGGAAGTTTCCAACCATCCTGTGGTGTTGGGTCTTCGTTTTGAAATAACGGTCCCCGCGTTCTCCTCCTCCTCCTCCTCCTCCTCCTCCTCCGCCTCCTCCTCCTCCTCCTTGTCCTCCTTCTCCTCCTCCTCCTCCCCCTCCTCCTCCTCCTCCTCCTCCTCCTCCTCCTCCTCCCCCTCCTCTCTCCTCCCCCTCCTCCCTGCGTTTCGCCCACCCAGAACAGCGCTTCGTGGCCCCATAGGGAGCTCCACCGAAGGCCCCAGTGGCAGGGTTCGCATGGCGGCCCCGCGTTTTGGCGCACCCCTCACACGGTTCGTGGCCCCACAGGCGGCTCCACCGAAGGCCCTGGAGGCAGGGTTCGCATGGCGGCACCGCCCCATTTTGGCGTACTCCTCACACGGTTTGTGGCCCCATAGGCGGCTTCACCGAAGGCCCTAGTGGCATGGTTCGCATGGCGCCCACGCGCAATTTTGGCGTACTCCTCACGCGGTTCGTGGCCCCATAGGGAGCTCCACCGAAGGCCCCAGTGGCAGGGTTCGCATGGCGCCCCCGCGCCATTTTGGCGCACTCCTCACACTGTTCGTGGCCCCATCTGGAGTTCCACCGAAGGCCCCAGTGGCAAGGTTCGCATGGCGGTCCCGCCGCATTTTAGCGCACCCCTCACACGGTTTGTGGCCCCATATGGAGCTCCACCGAAGGCCCCAGTTGCAGGGTTCGCATGGCGGCCCCGCCCCATTTTGGCGCACTCCTCACACGGTTCGTGGCCCCATAGGGAGCTCCACGGAAGGCCCCAGTGGCAAGGTTCGCATGGCGGCCCCGCCACATTTTAGCGCACCCCTCACACGGCTCGTGGCCCCACAGGGAGCTTCACCGAACGCCCCAGTGGCAGGGTTCGCATGGCGGCCCCGCCGCATTGTGGTGCATCCCTCACATGGTTCGTGGCCCCACAGGCAGTTCCGCCGAAGGCCCCAGTGGCAGGGTTCGCATGGCGGTCCCGCCTCATTTTGGCGCACCCCTCACACGGTTTGTGGCCCCATGTGGAGCTCCACCGAAGGCCCCAGTGGCAGGGTTCGCATGGCGGCCCCGCCCCATGTTGTCGCACTCCTCCCTTCCTCCTCCTCCTCCTCCTCCTCCTCCTCCTCCTCCTCCTCCTCCTCATCAAGGAGCCCACGATAGCCCAAAAGGGCCCCACCAGGACTTCCCAACAATGCCCAGGCCGCGAAAGCTCAGCGAAAACCCTGCGCAAGCGCGCAAGCTCCTCGTGATTTGGAGGCAACTTAAGCTGTTTTTGGGGCCTCCTGCGGCGTTTTGGGTGCCCCACCCGCGTAAGTTCAGCATCTGTTCCGCGTAAGCTCCGCGTAAGCGCGTAAGCTCCGCGTGAGCTCCGCATGAGCTTCGCGTAAGCGCGTCGTTGTATTTCTTGTAAGTCTAAGATGCATTGGATGGCCTTCACGACGGCTCCAGAGTGTCCAACAAGCCTCCGAACCCAAGAGGGCTCCAATATGGTGTGCGCTTGCTTCAAAAAGTCCCAAGAGGCCCCCACGACGAAACGAGAGGGCCCGAAGACGATCCGAGAGTCTCCCAAGGCAGCCCAAGAGGCCGCCAAGACTACCCAAGGATGAGACAAGGGCGAGGGGAATCGGGGAAGGAAGAGGCGGAACAATGGACAGGACAGCGATTCTGCATCTTCTCAAAGTAATCGTGTTTCCGTCCCCGTACCAAACAGATCTGACGGCTCTCGGCCCGCCGTGCCTGGGTCGTGTTCCAGAGGCCTCGGGTACACTTGGGGAGATCTAGGGGGACTTCTTGGGGGGCTCCAGGGGGGCCTTTGCGTCTCACTTGGGTGCGTCTTGGTGGTTCTTGGGGCCTCTTGTGGGCCTCTTGGGGGTCTCGAAATCATGTGCTGAATGGGTTGGCTTCAGGCAGTGCGACCATGGCGTGGGACCCCTCTCGTGGCCGTCTTGGGGGCCTTTTGGGCCCCTCTCGGGCCATCTTGGGCTGGTCTTGGGGGTTTCTTGGCCATTTTGAATGCTCTTGCGACCGATTCGGCGATTTGCCGATTTGGGCCTCTTGGGCTGGCCCCCGGGACAGGGGGGAGCTTCGACTGGACAAGCGCCTCCCAGGACCACCCCTGGACGAACACCCCAGGACTCCTCCTTACGCACCGATGTTTCATTCTTTCCGGCCCACTCTGCGAAGGCAAGGGTTGGTTAGGACTTCGCTTGCGCCCGAAGGCGAACATGTCGATGATGCCCGTTCGCCTGCCCGTTCGCCTCCTGCCCATGTCGTCTCTTCCGTGTCCCCCCCCCCCGCACCTCCTGCTTCCACACCTCGCCTCGCTGCCTCTGCCTCGCCCGCGCCTGTCCGACAGCGTTGCGTGTTCTTCCCTCGCCACGCTTCCCTTTCCCTGTGCTGTGTGGGGCAACGAAGACACGAACGAGTGAAACCTCGAAGGATCTCGAGCGCCTTCAGGCATCAGTATCCGCTTCCGAGTCTGGAGATGGAGGGTGCGAGCGGAGGATGAGGATGAGGGAAAGGGGCAGCAAGTGATACTCTCTCACGCAGCAGTGTGACATCTGTTAGCCCCGCCATGTCTCATTTCTTCGCCGGCCCATTCAGGCGATACTGCCGTCGAGCGCGTCGCTCTCATCAGTCTTTTTTGCAGGCATGTCTTCATGCATCTTGGTTCGGCAGCTCTACCTAGAGGAGGTTCTACCAGCACGCGTCAGCGTAACTATCAGGCATATGGAAAACCGTGATCTCGTTTTTTCCCTCCTGTGATTCTCTTCTCTTTCCTCCTACGAGTCTCGGTAACTCGCCCAAGCTCGAGGCTCACCACGTGCCAGAACTTTTATATATTCAAGGAAGGATGCCTGCCACCAGTAGCCTTTCCGAGGCAAGGGCAATGCCCCACGTAGAGAATATGACTTGCACAGCGCGTGAGGTGGTTCACACACATGCACACTCAGTCGTCTCTTCTCCTACATCGCCCCCCCTTCCTTCCGTAAGTGACCACGGCAAACGCGCATGCCAGCGCAAACGAACTTTCGTCTATCTTAGCAACTTCAAGGGTGCCCGATGCATTGCCCATCGTGCATGGGCGTCGAGCTTCTGAGCGGCAGAGGTCCAGCAGGGCATTGCCATCCAGTCCGTCCGCCTGCACGTGCTGTGTGAAACACAACGTCCCAGGCGAGTGCCCGCAACCGCTCCACCATCTCGCCTCCCCTCGATGACTTTCCTTTTTTATCACTACTACCTTGTTTCAACCAGGCCCATGAAGCCTCCCTACCTCGGTCAACATCGGGATGACGGCCATAGAGCCTCAAGGCCATTTTGGCATTCCACTCAAATGCCACCCCCTTGAATGCCTGCTTCATTTGACGGGTGTCCGCCAGATTATCCATTATCTGGCGAAAGCTTCTGCAGGTTCTGCTGCTGCTCACACCAATGTAAGCAATCAGCCATTTTGCGTGCCGACCTAGCTTTGCAGGGCTTCGCCTGTCGTTTCTTCCTCCTACAGTATTCCCCCCCTTCCCTTCAGGCGTTAGCCTTGCCTCCCAAGATGGCTATTGGCGCGAAAGACGCTTGCACGATTTGTTAGCTGGGGCTCTGGGCCCGCCTGTGCGAACCTTGCGTATTCGCACGTCAAGCTGTGGCATACGACGCTCTCCAGTCAAACACCTCCTCCCTCCTCCTGCTCCCCGCTCTCCTCCTCCTCCCTCCCCTTCCCGCTCCCCCCCCCTCCCTCCCTTCGTCCTCCTCGCCCTCTTCCTCTCCTCACGAGCCTGCCGCCCGCCGCTCCTCCGCCCACGCCCAGGGTGCGGGCGCACCCGACCGCCCCCCCCCCCCCTCCTCCCCAGGGCTCCCCGGCAGGGCGCGGCACGCGCCGATGCCGCGATGGCCTCCGGCGGCGGCGCGCCCCCCAGCGGAGGCGCGGCAGCGGCGGCGGTGCGCGAGGCGCCCCGCGGGCGGCCGCCAGCGTCGGCGTCGTCGGCGTCGCCGAGAGGCCGAGGGCGTCGTCGTTGTCAATCTTCGTCGTCGTCGTCGTCGTCGTCGTCGTCGTCGTCGTGGTTGTCGTGGTCGTCGTGGTCGTCGTGGTCGTCGTCGTCGTCGTCGTCTATGCCGTCTTTGTCGTTGTCGTTGTCGTCTTTGTCGTCTTGGTCGTCTTGGTCGTCTATATCGTCCGTGTCGTTGTCGTCGTTGTTGTTGTTGTTGTTGTTGTTGTGATTGTTGCTATTATTATTGTTGTTGTTGTTGTTGATGTTGTTGTTGTTGTTGTTGTTGTTGTTGTTGTTGTTGTTGT